AGATGCTTCGCCCTGGACCTGAACCGAACCACAAATATAGACGCACCCTTAGTAACAGTTAGCTGCAGCGTAAGGCTGTTCTCAGCACAATGATACAGTTATTGTGAAAAAAAACAGGATGTTATTTGCAACAAAACGCTTTTCAACCAATCAGGTTGCGTCTTTACGGTTTGAGGCAAGTGTATCGTGATTTAGGTGAGCAGTTTACACAAAGTCATTACTAATTAGCTCCATTAGGCCTGTAGTTCCAGTGCAAACTCGGGTCTTGGCTCGCCGACTACATTGGGGATAAAGGGGAAATTATGCAAATCTGAAATTTAAACAGAGTACATTTGGGATAAAGGGGGAAATTATGTAAATATGAAATTTAAAGGAAGTACATTTGAGGTAAGGGGGATATTATGTAAAGTAAGTCATGAAACAGGACCAGGATATTAATTTCAACCTCTCCTGTCCTTCCTTCTCTGCTGCTGATGCATCTTCCTCTCCTAATTTCTCCTCCATTCACCCTGTGCTGATCATTCCACTCTTTCTGTAAAGAGAGGAGCCTTCAGACAGTTCAGGGGCGGAGCAGGTGAGGTCATTTCTCTTCTCAAACTGAGCTGCTAACCTGATTCGAACCATTGTTTAACCCCTTGTTTCCACATAAAGCAGAAAATAATTTTTAATAAGTATTTAATCGACGAAACACAGTGGGAACCAAAGGTCTGGACCAAAAAAGTAAAAATACTTGGATATTTGGCCTTCTTTTCTAATTAATACAATGCTTTTACATGACAAATTATCTGAGAAATAGAACGTTTACATAAATTTAGTTTTTGTGAGTCTCTTTTTGCTTTAATGACAGCGTGAACTCGTGCTGGACTCCGTAAGTTTGTGTGAAAGCCTCCGATGACCCGATCAAATCTGAACTCGAGCCTCATTGGAAGAGATAAGACTACAAAAAATTCTGATCTGGTCAGATTAAAATGTTGTATTAACCCCTTAAAATCCAAGGCTTATTACATATTAAGGCTTATTATTCAGTAACTGCAGGGACTTCAGTGCAAACTGGCTGAGCTATTCTTAGGTTATAGAAATGTGTAATAAAACTTTGGGGCTGCCACATTTGGGCCCTGGCCATGGTCAGTGTCCGCTTACATTTGAACAGTGTCCTCCAGAGTCCTTCGTTTCGCTTATCGTAACTTTTCTTTCTTTTTTTTTAAATTGTAAAACTTTCTGTTGTTTATTTCTCAGGCCAAAATGAGAAAATCCCAGATTTTCAGTGTAGTATTAACAATTTGACCCCACTGTATGTTTTACAGTGAAGGTTTATTACTCAGTTATTAATTTTAAGATGTATTATTCAGATTTATTGCTACTATGAATTATTCTGCCACTGCTATGAATCTAATATGTAACTTACGTAGCTGTGAGATAAAGGAACTGTGGTGTAGGTGTTGGCGACTCCCCTCTAAGGCTGGACTGCATGTGGACAGGACCTTTCTGGATTGGTCAATGCTGAATCTCTTCTCCACCCTGACTCTGCCAACTCATTATCCCCAGCACCTGTGCCTCTGTGTATACATAGTCCAGAGGCCCGTCTCATGAAGCAGGTTCAGCTTAGATAGGCATGATTAGGTTAGGCTTTTGTGTGGTGTTCACTCAATTTTGGACGAAATGATCTCTTTTCGAATAGTCTTTGAAACAGGATAATCTGTTTCAAACTGAAAGGTGCACTAAATTCAGACTCTACAAACAGCACAGATCCGATTTTAATTAAAAATGTTTGTTCTGCAGTCTGAGATATTAGTCTGGGTTGGTTTTAGTGCTATTGGAAAAATACAAAGAGCTGCCCCACCCAGATCTGCAGACATAAGCAATCAGCTTCCTATAGTGTTCTTCACAAGGCTGTGTAATGAAATGCAGATCTACTTAGGAGTCCAGTACAAAAAGGTTGTACAACGAAGCACATTTACTTTTCAGGAACTATGAACACTAGTCTTATACATTTCTACAGATGGGCACTAGATACTGTTTAGTGAGCACCAAATAACTGATAATATCTAGTAAGCACATGATAGTATGTGGCGCTCACCAGATTTTTACTATGTGGTGATTAACAGCTACCAGGTGAGTACCAAATAATACCTGCTGCTCACCAAATAGTACATGCTGCTCACCTGATAGCATCTGCTGCTCACCAAACAGTATCTGGTGCTCGTCTGATAGTATCTTGTGCTCACCAAACAGTATCTGGAGCCCAATCTGATAATATCTGCTGCTCACCAAATAGTATATGCGGCTCAATGAATAGTATCTGCTGCTCACTTGATAGAATCTGGTGCTCACTTTATAGTATCTGCTGCTCACCGTATAGTATCTGGTGCTCATCTGATAGTATATGCTGCTCAGTGAATAGTATCTGGTGCTCACTTGATAGTATTTGCTGCTCAATAAATAGTATCTGGCGCTCACTTGATAGTATGTGCTCACCAAACAGTATCTGCTGTTCACCAAATATTATCTGGTGCTCACCAAACAGTATCTGCTCAATGAATAGTGTCTGGTGCTCATCTGATAGTATCTGCTGCTCACCAAATAGTATCTGGTGCTCACCTGATAGCATCTGGTGTGTACAAGGTTTTTACAGAAAAAAAGCCCGTTCATAGGCTCAGTGCTGCTCAATGAATAGTATCTGGTGCTCACTTGATAGTATCTGTTGCTCACCAAACAGTATCTGCTCTTCACCAAATGGTATATGCTGCTCAATGAATAGTATCTGGTGCTCACTTGATAGAATCTGGTGTTCACTTTACAGTATCTGCTGTTCACCAAACAGTATCTGGTGCTCACAAAACAGTATCTGCTCAATGAATAGTATCTGGTGCTCACCAAATGCAATTTGGTGAACAGCAGATACTATCTGGTGAGCACCAGATAGTATCTGGTGTTCACCAAATTGTATCTGGTGCTCACCAAATAATATCTATATATAATGTAACAAAAACTGTGAGCTGTCGATGCACAATCGAACACATATGAGCTGTAAATCAGAAATACAGAAATACAGGAATTCAGGGGGGAAATACGGTAAAAGTGCAGTAATCAACTGTATTTAGAAAAAACGGTAAAGTACTGTAATTTTCTAATACAGTAAAGAAATGCTTGCCAGTAAATTACTGTCATTTTACACATTTTTATATTTAGGCTTACATACACATAAGGGGTCAAGTAACAAACGCTCTTAAATCTTTCTGAGAAACGAACTTGGCTTGACCTCAGAAAAGGAAATAAAGGAACGCTAGATGGATGAAAGCAAAGCGACAGCTCTCTTCTCACTTACCTGACCTGTCAAAAGAAATAAAGGAGTAAACAGGTAGAAGGAGCGTCCTCGGGAGAACGAATCTGAGCCTCCAACCAAAACTGCTGCTGTTATCTTTCTTTCCCCTCCAGTCCTCTGTTTTTGTTTGTTTGTGTTTTTTTTACACTTTTACTTACACTACGCTGTTCACAAGTCTCAGCATTTTCGCTCTTCTCAGATCAGGGCAGGTGAAAGTAATACAAAGGCACCATGCTTCAGCACCTCTGGACCCACTGGGACTACAAGCCTCACTAAATGGCCAGAGTGCAGTTTTATGCAGTTTAAAGTGTTTAAAATGGGGTCACCGAACCTGTCTTTCTGATACAGAGTCCACATGAGCCAAAATAGAGGCTGTAAGTTGATGAGCGAGCCCTTGTAAGGCGGATGATCGCAGCCACAGCCTTTGACCACTCACCTCAGCCTGGAAGCCCTCCACCAAAATGGCCACCAACAGGTTGAAGAGGACATAATTGCCGAAGGTCATCAGAGCCACGAAGTACAGGGCTGCCCATGGAGACGTGGAGGCCATGCCGTTATATAACACCACGTTCCAGTCCTCCTGTGTCAATATCTGGAAAGAGGAAGTGTAGCAGGAGAGAGAGAGAGAGGAGAGAGAGAGAGCGGTAAGAGAAACCAATTCTTCTCCGAGGCAACTGAGCTTGAACACGTAGTTTATGGATTCTAATAGACACAGAATGACTGTGATATGCTTCGCTTAATGGGACTCCTCCGCTGTAGACGATTTAGAGTTCAAGGACGCTCTTTGACTTTCTAAGCGATTTTCTTCAGAAGCTCAAGATGCTCTGTAATGTATCAGTCATAAAACTATTAGAGGACAGGTTTTCCAACTCTGCTTCAACTGCCAATTCTGAGGAATCCAAACACGGAGATGGGTGATATCTCAAAATAATTAGGTACAATATTTTCTTGTTAAAAAATTGGGTTTACAGAATAAATCAACTCGGCTCTCACTCACATGGTCCTCTGAAACAAAGACCACCTTTCTATACTGTCTTTAGCCTCTATAGAAGCTTCAGGCTTCTACCTATATATTAATGGATTAAAAATAATATGTTTTAGGCTTAAACGGTATCTTAAAACAATGGCGTGGGCGTCAGGAAACGTATTCATAGCCATTTCATGAAATGGTGTCGGAAGAAAACCTCGTATCTCCATTTTGGTTCATTTTTCAGTTTTTAACATAATTTGAAAATGCTTGTTGCTCTTTACATTGTGCGTGAATTTCATGATGAAGGGACCAAAAGAAACGGCCCAAAATGACTTGGAAAAAAGTCTGGTTCCATTGACTTACATCAAAAGTAGAGTATGTTTTTTCCTTCTCTTGTAAGTTTTGGAGATACAAGGTTTTCTTCCGACAACAGCGAAATGCTTCAGACGTGTGGTTCCTATCACCACCACTGTGAACAACTCTGGGTTCTGTAGAATTGCATATTCCATATCAAACCCCTCTAGATGACTTTGTTTACATCTTTTTATTATTATTATCCTTATTTTTACCCAGTTTTCTCCCCAATTCAGTCGTGTCTAATTCCACAGGGTGAATGCCAGCACATACTTTTTCAAAGTGCTGCTATTGCATCAATGATAGGGCTGCAACACTTTTTCCATATATAATTTCAATAATTAATATACTCAAAACTGGAAAATCCGTTTTGAGATCCTCTCACATTCATACTAACATATCATCATGACAGGTGTCCAACTTTAGTCAATGATATTTATGTGTTTAAGCCTCATTTTCACTGCTCTTCTATATTCTTTTTTTATTGTTGTGTTGTTGTTTTGCTGTCTGGTATTGAACAGAGGAAGATGGGTTCCCCTTTTGAGTCTTGGTTCTTCTTAAGGTTTCTTCCTCTTGTTCTGAAGGAGTTTTTCCTCAACACTCATGCACTCAATAATCTGATCATAATCTTCTGCGGTTATCAGATTACTCGAATGGTCGTGTAAACATCATACTCCGATCTAGAAATCTGATTAAGAAATCCGATAAAGTGAGCTGGGTTTTAGCTCAGTAATCAGGTTTCTTAGTGCATGTGAACTCTTACTCTGATTTCTGTCGGATTTCTCAGTCTGCACATGTGCGAAAACAGACTGTAGTACTGGAAATAAGTGAGCAGTGTTGCCTTGAGACGCAGCAAAACACTTTTGGAGCGACACTGAAACCAAAATGAAATGAATGACTTAAATATTCTTCATCTTCAACTATGTATGTTCATAGTTTCAGGTAAAGTGGCTCGATGTTTTAAAAAAAGCCACTCATAGTTACGTTTATGTCACGTCTTCCTCTCTGAGTTTATTGGCTGGTTGTAAATCAGAAATCCGATTACTGTCTGACTCATGTAGATCCGGAGCTTCCCCATTATCTGATTATTCAAGTGCATGTAATCGTGTTGACCACAAAATCTGATTTTCTGCAGTTATCGGATTATTAAGTGCATGTAAACATACTCACTGTCACCCTTGGCGATTCTCATTACAGCCTGGACTTGTATTTCCTGTACAGCTGCTTTGTGACAACGTATGTTGTAAAAAGCGCTGTATAAATTCAGTTTGACTTGACTTCACTTGAATGACTGACACGTTCACCACTTTTATGAACCCAGGCGCTTCATTAAGCCAAATATCAGTGGAATTCCCCTTTGTGACTAAAAGCAACAGCCAGAGACGCAGTGACAGGAATATTGAAGCGATTTTCATTGCATTGGTTAACTGGACTGTGTGACAGCATCGCTTTCTCAAATCAATATATACATCCAATAAAATTCTCATCTCAACACATCAAGACTGACACTCAGCGGATGCTATAAAACAGCCACGTGGCCAAAACAGCTGACACCAGCAACACGGACGCGCACGCCGCTTCTTCCACTGAGCGCAGCTCTGAGCTATTACTGTTTATAAAAGAAGAAAGAGTAACTCGGAGGAAGCGTGTCTGTTTAAATTCAACTTTATCCTCACCCTAAAAACATCTTCCTGCCTTTGGCTCATTGAGCATTCAGGTACAAAGCTTTAAAAAAAAGCTCCTTGAACTGGATTTTTCCCCCAGGAGGACATTTTTACATACATCTATTCACTAAAGTCTGCCTGTCTGTCTCTGTCTTCTGTTCTAGGCTGAGTCGGAACAGAGGAAAAAACAATACACGCGGTTTACCTGCCAACACACACGCACCCGCACCCGCACCCGCACCTGCACTCGCTCCGACCCACGGAGAGAGATTAGGGAAATTAAAGTGCGCTTCCAGTGCAGGAGAAACCCTGACCTCCGTGGCATCCCTTAGAGCCCGGAGTTAATACAGAACCATATCAGCATTTACACAACTGTCACCCCCCCGCTGACCTCATCACGCTACCAATATTGCAGGGCGAAGGATGATGACCTCATCATGCTGGTAATAATGAGGACCGGGTTTTGATGACCTAAGCGTTTTTTTTTTTCTGACCGAAGCAGTAGAATCAGTCTAGATAATCCTTTAAAAACACAACTGGACATACGCAAACACACACAAAACTGCACACACGCAAACACACACACACACACACACACACACACACACACACACACACACGTCTTAGCCTGTCTCCATGGTCGCCCAACAGATGGCGGAGAGAGGATGTTCAATAAAATCTTAGCGCTCTTACAGCTTGTACTCAGTTTCAGAGCTTGTATTTCAAGCTTGTAGGGAAAATTGCAGTTTCAGTCACTTTTCAAGGAACACAACACACTCTGCATATGCCTATAGTGAAAGTGCTGGAGGGAAATCTGAGTGCTGTCACCCATATGGTACAAAACATATATGTATATATATTTTTGCGTAATATGTGCCAATATGTGTGAGAAAAATATATACATCAACTTCTTTACATTGAAATTGTATGTGCAATATGTGTCAATATATACGATGTCTTAGAACTAAAACTCCAAATAAAGAACAAATATATGTACATATATTTCTTTATATCCCAAATATATGTGGAATATATATATATAACATGTGCGATGCCGTAGTACCAAGCGAATGTGTGTGTATATATATATATATATATATATATATATACACACACACACACACACATATATACATATATATACACACACACACACACACACACACACACATCTATATATATATATATATATATATATACATATATTTATGTCACATCACCAAAATACCAAATGTATGTGTAATATATGCCAATATATGTCTTAGCACTAAAATTCCAAATGTAGAAAAAATATATGTATATATATTTCTTTACATCCAAAAACTATATCATCAAAATTCCAAATGTTGAAAAATATATGTACATACATTTCTTTACATGCAAAAAATGGGATTTATGGAATTTATGGGAAATCACGAATATTTTGAGCACAGAAATATATGTGTACATCTCTTTGTTTAAGTTCAAATAATTTGTGTAATAATCGCGAATACATGATGCGTTAACGTGAAAATTCCAAATGCAGAAAATTATGTACATATACTTCTTTACATCCAAAATATATGTACCGTACTTGCCAATATATATATTGTTTTAGCACCAACAGCCCCTTAACAGCAGGGGTTCTCAACCGTTTGCAACTCATGGCCCAGAAAAAAACCCGCAGCCCGGAAGAAGATTTAAACAGCTTGATTGTTTCAAATGCAAACAGCAAACGAATATAATGCAACAATCAGTGTAGCAGATCAAATTTCACTTGACAAAAATTCTGTTTGCAGCCATTTATCCATGATGGATGAATATGATCAAAAAGAACATCTTACATTGACTTGCCCTAAACTATGAACATATGTAGCTAGCTACACTGGTCATACATTTTGCCAGACCAATCACTGAACTGGACCTAAATGTTTAGTTGTCTTTGATGTTTATTTTGGTAAATAACTATCACAACAATGGTTAAACGTCTACATATTGTAACGAAATTAAAAAAAGAATAAAAAAAGACTGCCAATGACCTTGTAGCAGTACTATCACGGCTGCCCACAGATTGAAAACCACTGCTTTACAGTAACGTCATCAAAACGAAGTGAGACAAACACAGGCAGTGTAAACAAATAAGCTCACTGCTCCCCAACGAGAGAAATCAAAGTAACAGCTATTCAAAACCAACTTTTCTTCAATGTAGTTTGAATAAAGGGAGAAACAAAGGAGCTTCACACCAAGTGCCTTTATCCAGTATATATCCCTGTTTCCGTTCCTACGCTAGGATTCTAAACTAAAGAAACTGAGCTTCCTTTCTCCATTTGATCCACTTCCACAATTAAAACGAGCACAGAAATTCACTTCAGCAGTGCTGCTGGAGTTTTTAAACGCCTCAGTGTCACTGCTGGACTGAGAATAGTCCACCAACCGAAAACATCCAGCCAACAGCGTCCTGTGGGCAGCATCCTGTGACCACTGATGAAGGACTAGAGGATGACCAACACAAACTGTGCAGCAGCAGATGAGCTATCGTCTCTGACTTTACATCTACAAGGTGGACCGACAAGGTAGGAGTGTCTAATAGAGTGGACAGTGAGTGGACACAGTGTTTAAAAACTCCAGCAGCACTGCTGTGTCTGATCCACTCGTACCAGCGGAACACACACTAACACACCACCACCACATCAGTGTTACTGCAGTGCTGAGAATGATCCACCACCCAAATAGTACCTGCTCTGTGAGGGTCCATGGGGGTCCTGACCACTGAAGAACAGGGTAAAAGGGGGCTAACAAAGTATCAGAGAAACAGATGGACTACAGTCTGTAACTGTAGAACTACAAAGTGCTCCTATATAGTAAGTGGAGCTGATAAAATGGACAATGAGCATAGAAACAAGGAGGTGGTCATGATGTTATGCCTGATTGGTCTAATTGTGCTTACTGAAGCATAAAACAAGCAGAATTATCTGCCAATGGAGAAATATATTATTATGAGATAAAACTACCTAAGACAAGTAAAAATGTCTAGAAATAGGTTAAACAATTTTATAATATTCTTACAACAACCTCTCAAAATGAGAAACATTAGATGTCGCTGTTGTCGGAAGAAAACCTCGTATCTCCGAAATGGTAACTTTACAGGAAAAGGAAAAAACCTACTATACTTTTAATGTAAGTCAATGGAACCAGAGTTTTTTCCAAGTGCTTTTGGGCCCTTTGTTTTGGTCCATTCATCATGAAATTTACACACAATGTAAAGGACAACAGGCATTTTTAAATTATGTCAAAAACTGAAAAACAATGGAGATACAAGGTTTTCCACCGACAGCAGCGATATACTGAACAGATGTAAGATGTTCACTTGATAAGATACTGTTTTTGCAGTATGTTCAGTAAATCAGGGGCATTTTAACCTGCAGTCTGAACACAGACATAGATGTGCCAGGAAATAAGTATTATTGGAATGGATAATTAAAAGCTACTAATAAAACAGGTCCTGAAATCTGATTGGCTGAGCCGAGTTCAAAGCCAGTGTAAAATACACAATATATGCACAATTTTGACCGATTCACAGCAACTGAACTCTGTATCACTGCGCCACCTCATGAAAAGTCCTTGTGCTGTTAATGGAATAACCTTTGCTGCTCACATGGAGCGGCGAGTGTACTGATGAAGTAAGAGCCTGTTTTTTTGTTTAAACTGAGGGGCTGAAAACTTATTTTCTTAACTAGAATTAGGCTGGTCAGTTAGCTAACAGGCTAAACAACTACATCATTAATATCACAAGTTTGAATTAAAATACTTATAATATGATTCACTGAAAAACTACAACATAAAAGTCTAAAGAATGTCACTTGAATGTATTACATGCTTCAAATGTCCACTTCGCATCGTGCCTAACAACACCCTTCCCCTGTAACACACAGCCTCTCGTGGCTTACTACTTCATTATAAAGTGAAAGTTTCTTCTTTAAACACTAAACAAACCCTAATAGCTTTAGAAGCATTTAGTAACAAGTTAATATCAACAACAGCAACAGCATTAGAGGCATCTAGTTTGTCAAACTGTAAATATTTGGAGGTACATACTAGCTGGGTATTTTGATATTTCATCAAGATCACTGAAAGCTTTCTGTTTTTCCAGTATCTCAAATGACTTTTCAAGACATAAAACAAAAATCTGCTGTACCAACGCAACACATTCTTAGTGGTTGTGATGGAAAGCTGATTTGTCCTATAGTGCAAGGCACCGCCCTTTTGTTTATTTTGTTCCCAGTCAAAACAGTCATTAAGCACAATTTATGAATTTTTTCAGTGTTAGTAAAAAGTAAGAAACATATTTACATTTATTTATACACCTTTATTATTCTTTTCAGAAGACTTGATTTCAGTTTTTCAAAGAAATCTGCAGGGATATTTCTTCCACACCTCCAAAGTTCAGTCTTAGAAGTTGGTTGTATTTTCTGCTTCTCACCATCCATTCTTACCATACAATCAAACACTTTCAGTGATGTCAAGGTCTGGACCCTGGGGTGGACAGTCCATTGTTCTGAGAGCACCAGTTTCATTTCCTTTTTCTTCATTTTATCTGTTTGCTTTTTGATTTGTCTTCTCACAGTGGAAGGATGGACAGAAACACCTGTGGATGTTTTCAGATCTGAAGCCGCTTGATTTTCTCCTCTCTCTCAAAGATGAAAGCTGTAAGTGCTGTTTATCTGATGGGGACAGTTTTGGTGTCTACCAGGTCTTCCAGGTGGCTGTTAGGAGCCCCATTTTTGCTGTATCCTCTAAAAAACTTTCAAGCTCTAGTTTTGCAAACGCATGTTTTTTTTCACTGAGTTTTCCTTTTTTTATAAAATTGAATTATCTTATATCTAATCTCAGTAATGTCTTCTAATAAAACAAATAAGTTTTACTTATTAACTGGTTGACTGGAACTTAAGTAAATGAAAATGGGTGATCTCTGACTTTTGCACAGTACTGGAAATGTCTGAGAACGCTGAGAGAACACTGAGAAAATGCTGACCTGGAACACGGTGACAATGGCCCAGAGGAGCGAGTCGAAGTTCTTCCTATCAGAGACCGTGTCCCCATTCTCCAAGCGGAGAGTGAACTTACACCCAAACAGATGCATCCCCAGGATACTGCAGGGGAGACAGAGAGAGCCAGACAGAGAGGAGAAAACAGAATATGGATAAGTTCTCCTAATAAAACATTCAGTTCTCTTCCTATGGCTGCAATACCTTGGGAGCTAGAAAGCACACTGATCACTGTAGAACTTGTCCTACGATAAATCTAAGTAATATCTGTGTTGGTGAAGATCTTGTTCATGTGCAAAAAGGAGACAGAATAGTTTGTATTAACACTACTGATAATAATTTCAAATATTATCATTAAAAGTTGCACTGAGGAGACGCTAATGAAGTTTTGAGATTTACCATTCACTCCCCAGTTCATACATCATATGGATGTATGGAAACTAAACTGCAACAACAGCCTGTTTTGAATTCATCATGGTTCTGATGTCACAACCATGAGCATGTTCACATATACACAGGCTATGACCCGAATGGATCCCTACTAGTGGCGCAACTAGGACCCCATGGGCCCCAGTTCAAAAAAACAAGAAAACGATGACCCTCATGCCTTTTTTAATAATGTTCTGATGAGCTGAAATTTGAACTTTTCGGAAAACAAGAAACATCCACAATAAGAACATCATAGCAACAGTGAAACATGGTGGTGGTAGTGTGATGGTGTGGGGATGCTTTGTCTCTTCAGGGCCTGGAGGATTTGCCATAACTGACAGAACTACAATTTCTGACCTCTACCAGAAAATCCTAAAGGAGGATGTCCAGTCATCAGTCTGGGATCTGAAACTCAAGTCAAAATGGGTTATGTAGCAAGACAACGGTTTTGCAGTGGACTATTCAAAGTCCTGAAGCCCATTAAGATGTCGTGGCAGGACCCTAAATAGGCGGTTTATGCTCAAAATCTGTTCAAAGTTTGGTTGCAACTGTTGCGCTAAACCAATAATTGGGTTTAGGGGACGCAATTACTTTTTCACACAGTTTGCAAAACTTTTTTCCCTCAATAAATGAAATGATCCTTTAAACCAGTTTTGTTTTTCCTTCTGTTCTTTTTGTCTTATGTTATATTTTCTATAAGGATCTGAAACCATCTAGTGTGACAGATATGCAAAAATAGAGGAGATCAGAGGGGGTGAATACTTTTTCACGGCACTGTATTTCAGTCTTAAAGGTACAGTTACACAAAAACAGCTGGTGTAATTATAAGAGCTAAAGAGAGGTCGGTGAATGGTGTAATGTAAAAATGTAAAAATGAATTATTTTAAGTGGATGAATAAAATACAATTTTATGGAAAAAAATTCAAATTAAAAATGTAAAAAACAGACCTGCACATGCACACAAAGACACACCTGAAGATGAAGATGAAGAGCATGAGCAGCATGCAGAAAGTGGCCACGTTGTCCATGGTCTTCATCAGGACCACCAGCTGTCTGCGCAGGGCCGGCATGAAGCGCACCAGTTTCAGAACCCTCAGGAGACGGAACGTCCGCAGAACCGATAAACCTCCGTCAGCCTGCCCGATGATCTCCCACACGCTACACAGAGAGGATCAGATTAGATTGCATGTCCTTCAGTGCCCAACTTAGCAAAAATGAATGTTAGCGTAAACATTCTACCATGTATTGTGCTAAAACCTGCATAAAACAATTGAATATTTGGAGAATAATCTCATGGTGTTTGTTAATTTTAATGCAAATGTTGCTTGAAAAAAAAAATATCTGTTAGGAATAAAAACAGAAAAAAAGGACAACTGAAGTTTCATTGACACCACACTTGTACAGAGGTGAAACAGAGGCTTATTGAATCTGCCAATACTGTCATATTATGAGGTGTATCTCAGCATCGCTAATAAGCCAGCGCTCTGCTTTAATGAATAACACCATTGAAAATAATGCTAATGAATAGGATGCAATTAAATCAACTCGATACAAAAATATAATTAGAACAGAATGGAACAGAACGGAGCCGTGCCTGATGATAACAATGATCAAATCAAAAATGTTGTAGGGGTTGCTGATGTAGCCAAATAGACCGCAGGCCAGCAGCTTCAGCAGCATCTCTAGGGCAAACAGGCTGGTGAAGACTATATTACTGATCTCCAACACATCTGTCAGCTCAGCCGGCTGGGGACAGGGGAAAAGAGAGAGGGAAGGGTGGGGGTTTGGGGAGAAAATGGGGGAAAATATGGGGAAGAAAGAGAGAGATTTCAGATTATTTCAGCTTAATTTGTTCATTCTTGACTTTCTTCAAACTATTATTATTTCTAGGTAACATCACAATCATCCATCAGACACATACAAAGAGTAAAACAGTGGTTAAACCTTGCTGGAAAAAAAGTGATGCATTGAATTTATTTGATCCAAATGTTCTCATATGAATAAAATACAGAGTGAATAATAAGGCTGTGTGATAAATGATATTTGTAATCATTAATACAATATAAGTTTTCGTGATAAACACATTGGTAGCGCGGTGATGACAGATCAAATCAGCTCATACATGCAGCACCAGAGACGTCATAACATTAGAAAGTTAGAAGCCTAATGAGTGTTTCTCTGCGCTGGGACTGAACCCGGAATCTATTGAGTGACTTAACCATTCGGCTAAACAGTCAATTACAAAGCACAGCCTGAAAACTACTCCATCAAATGGCTCCTGACTGGTTCAACCGTCTAAGCGTTGGCCCTATCAACAGGCGATCGTAAGTTCGATCCCTGGTGATGCTACAGCCATCCACGGCCGGGAGCCAAGAGACCACAATTGGTCTCGCTCTCTGGGTGGGTAGGATGGCCCCCCCGTCTCCCCCCATCAATCAGCGTGATGCTAGTCAGCGCAGTTGTCTGTTAGCTGATGTTGGTGCTTTCCTCTGAGCGTGTCTGGCTGTCTGATAATGTTGCATGAGCGGCAGTTTGAAAAGATGCAGTGGCGCTTCACAGGTCTCGGAGGAAGCCTGTGCTAGCCTTCGCCCACCTAGCACTGGTGTTATCGTGTGACTGGGGGAGTCCTGACTAGTAGGTGGAATTGGAAACGACTAAATTGGTGAGAAAAATTGGGAGAAAAAAAAAAAAAACATTGTAATTTTTCTCACACCAAGTATTGTGTGTTTTAAATGTGCGAGGCAGTAATAGCTAAGCAAAAAATATAATAAATAAACAAAAATATGTATTTGTTCTTGTGAAAATTGTTTTCTGACCATTTTAGAAACTTTGATTCCTGAGTTGTGTGTAGAAGTCACAGAATTCACAGCTATGTTGTTTTAAACTGAACTTAAAATCATAATTGACCCCTTTTTAAGTTTGTTAATTCATGACTCTGGTCATACACAGCACGAGTGATCATACTGTATCATTTAAAAGGCAGAATTCTTGTTTTCTTGTAACATTTTAACAAACTGTAGTGACCTCTAAGCCATCATCTGACCTTTGATTTTGATGACCAGGCACCACTGGGCTGGGAAAAGGGATTTTAACCAGTAATATCACCTCCTGCCCACCACCCACACCTATCACTGAGAAAATGCTCAGCTCAGAAACTCTCCCAGGCTCTGTATGGAAGTACGGGAGGAAAACGTGTCATGATTTCCGACTCATGTTGACGTTAATGACCCTCTCGGTGGCTGTAATACAGCACCGCTTTGAAGAATATAAACTTAAAGCTCTTAGAGCCCTGTTCACTATACAGTGCACTATTTTGGGGTTCCGTCATTTTGTAGTGGTGTCTGAAAACACAGTGTAGAAGATCCAGGTACGCAATCAATCCCATAATGCAACAAAATAAGTAGTGTGCAACCAGTGCACCCTGGGGGAGGATTAGCAAGCCTAGCTACAACGGCAGCATCTCCACAGTCCTCTCTTCAGACCTGTTACAGATGTAAGTCAGCATTTCTCATGTGTGCAGTCAGACTCAGCAGTTATACTGGACTGGTGGAATGACGTTTCTAGTGTTCACACAGCAAAAATGGTGTCTTGTCAAGTAAAATGATCCTAAATGTAGTCAATAAATCTAACATTTCTCCTGTTGAGATTATTTTAAGCTTAATTTGAGACTATTTATCATTTTTCTAGACATTTTACCTGTTTTTTAGTAATTTTATTAAGTAAAATTATCTCACTATATTGTCAGATAATTTTGCTTGCTTTAAGAAATGTGCTTGAAACCAGCAAAATTATCTGCCAGTACAGTGAGATAATTTTACTTAATAAAATTACTGAAAACAAGTGAAAAGTGTCTAGAAATAAGCTAAATAATCTTATAATAAGTGCACAACCATCTCAAAATGGGAAATATTAGATATATTGACTAGATTTAAGATCAGTTCACTTCCACAAAATGCCGTTTTTTGCAGTGTATGCGACGGAATCCGCTGTCACACAGTGATGAGCAAACCCTGTATGACATGGTGTCTGGAACCGTTTACTACCATCACCAATTCTGTTCCCTGTAATAATGATCTGTATCGTGATCCAGATTTTACAATGTGCACTCTTACAAAGTTGGTTCTTTAAGGGTTCATTAGTAAAGAAAATGGTTTGATGGTGAATGTGTTGTACATGGTTCCATACAGAATGTTTTTGAAAAGGGTTCCACATTGCACCAAAAAGGGTTCTTCTATTGTAAAAGGTTGATTTCATAACAATGGAGGAGCTCTTTTTGTGGCTATATAGTTCCCATTTCAAAAAGGTTCTATATATTCAGTGGGTGAAATAAGTATTGAACACGTCACCAATTTTCTAAGTAAATATATTTCTAAAGGTGCTTTTGACATGAAATTCTTATCAGATGTCGGTAACAAGCCATCCAATCCACACATGCAAAGAAATCAAACCATATATGTCCATAAATTAAGTCGTGTAATAATGAGAAATGACACAGGGAAAAATTATTGAACACGCTTACGGAAATTTATTTAATACTTCGTACAAAAGCCTTTGGTGATGAAGCTTCAAGACGCCTCCTGTATGGAGAAACTAGTCGCATTGCTCAGGTGTGATTTTGGCCCATTCTTCCACACAAACACTCTTCAAATCCTCAAGGGTCCACGGGCTCCTTCTATGAACTCTGAGCTTTAGTTCCTTCCATAGATTTTCAATTGGATTCAGGTCAGGTGAGTGGCTGGGCCATTCTAGCAGCTTTATTTTCTTTCTCTGAAACCAACTGAGAGTTTCCTTGGCTGTGTGTTTGGGATCATTATCTTGCTGAAATGTCCACCCTCGTTTCATCTTCATCATCCTGGTAGATGGCAGCAGATTTTTATCGAGAATGTCTCGGTACATTTGTCCATTCGTTCTTCCTTCAATTATATGAAGCAGGCCAGTGCCGTATGCTGAAAAACAGCCCCACACCATGATGTTCCCACCTCCAAACTTCACTGTTGGTATGGTGTTTTTGGGGTGATATGCAGTGCCTTCTGACCTCCAAACATGATGTGTATTATGGCATCCAAAGAGTTCAATTCTGGTCTCACCTGACCAGACTATATTCTCCCAGTATTTCACAGGCTTGTCTAAATGTTGTTGAGCAAACTTTAAATGCACCTCAACATGCTTTTTCTTCAGCAACGGAGTCTTGCATGGTGAGCGTGCATACAGGCCACGGCGGTTGAGTGCATTACTTATTGTTTTCTTTGAAACAACTGTACCTGCTGATTCCAGGTCTTTCTGTAGCTCTCCACAAGTGGTCCTTGGCTCTTGGACAACTCTTCCGATAATTCTTTTCACTCCTCCGTCTGAAATCTTGCGAGGAGCACCTGGCCGTGGCCGGTTTATGGTGAAATGATGTTCTTTCCACTTCCGGATTTTGGCCCCAACAGTGCTCACTGGAACCTTGAGTAGTTTAGAGATTCTTCTATAACCAATGCCGTCAGTATGTTTTGCAACAATAAGGTTGTGAAGGTCTTGAGAGAGCTCACTGGTTTTACCCATCATGAGATGTTTCTCGTGTGGCACCTTGGTAATGAGACACCTTTTTATAGGCCATCAGTTGAACCAGCTGATATTGATTTGCACTAAGTGGCAGGATTGCTTTCTAATTACTGATAGATTTCAGCTGATGTCATGACTTTCCATGGCTTTTTGCACCTCTCTTTCTTCATGTGTTCAATACTTTTTCCCTGTATCATTTTTCATTATTACACATAACTTAATTTATGGACATCTATGGTTTGATTTCTTTGCATGTGTGGATTGGAGGGGTTTTTACCGACCTCTGCTGAGAATTTCATGTCAATAGCACCTTTAGAAATATATTTACTTAGAAAATTGGTGACGTGTTCAATACTTATTTCACCCGCTGTATCAATCTGAAGAACCTTTTCAAAATGCAAAGAACCCTTTAATCATGCATGGTTCTATATAGAACCATTTTCCTTACTAAACAACCCTTGAAGAACCATCTTTTTTAAGACTGTATGGTACAGTAATTAAGGGACCATTTCGGACATGGCGACAGTGAGAGCCAGCCGGGCTAAAGTACAGCCTCCACATAAAACCCAACAAGAAAACAATGGGAGAAATCTGCCGGTTTAAATTTAAAGAAGTTAATATTTAGGATTTTTTTTCCCAGATTAATCAGAAGCGCACTATGATAGGGTCAACGCTGATGTCATGTAAGTAAAATACCTTTCAGTTTTATTGTATTCAGTATTTAACACAGCCTCTTTTGACTAATCACAAAACAAACAAAACCTTGCATTTCCATTTTTTGTAATTTTTCTTTTTTCCACAGAATTTGAAAATGCCAGCTGTCTTTTTTCATCGTGTTTAAATTTTGTGATTAATGGAGCAATAGAAATACTTCAAAGTTACTTTGTTCCATTAACTTCCCTTCAAAGTTAAGAAGGTTTTTGCTTTCTCCTTTAAAGTTACCACTTTAACATTGGCTTAGATGTATATATTTTTATGTATTTAGGTTGGAATGCCTGTCTGCTTCATAATTGTATTGAAATAATTGTTTTGCATCCTTTCATGTGACGTTTCTAGCCAATTCTAGCCCCTCTGTCTGTTACACTTAACCCCACCAATGGAGAAAAAGCTCTTTCTACAAAGTGCTTGTATTGAAAACACTACTGATCTTGCTCAAATATATTTAATTTTATAAACACAAACCGAAAACCTACTCTCTCCTA